GGGTCGTTGCCAACAGGTCCCAAAGCAGTTGTTACCGGCGGCCCGCAGTGCGGAGTTCCTGCGGGCTGTGAATCTGGCACGAGCGTCATCCAGATGCATTGCATAGTACCGCTTGATGTCTGGGTCCAGGGCATCATTGCTACGAATCCCATATGTTCGTAGATGGCATCTTCCACCAGGCCCACGACATGAACCCCGAGGGCCTCGCAAAGAGCCTCAGCAGAGCCTCTGAGAGCATGAAATAATCGAGACGCACCTGGATAGCAGCATCGCCCTCCGCAAGTCGGTCGCCCTCGGCCCCGCCGCCAAAGTTCGCGGCCCCGCTGGCTAGGCAAACTACCGGGGCCCCGGCCCCATGATCGAGTTGACGCAGCACCTGACCCCGGCATCGACTACGCGGCTGGAGGTTGCGCGCGAAGTGGCTAGGGACGCGCTGTCATTCGCCGGAGAGTTACGAAGGTGAAGTTGCGCAGGCGCAGGCTCCAGGCCATCGAGATGGCAGAGGCTGGCATGGGGAAGTTGCGCAGAACAGGCCAGGGCCGGGCCAATCACCATGGTGGCGAGGTTGCGGGGCTAACCGTTTCCGAATTTATCCAGTGCCAGGTAACGTATTTCACTGCGGTGGGACCAAGAAACCAAAACCCATCTCGCGCACTGCGTTTGCGCCTGCTGGGGGGCCCATCCTAGAAGGCCGCCCCGGGGCCAGCGATGCACTGCAGCCTAACTGGTCTGGAGGATCCAGCTCGAGCAGGGCTCCTGAAGTAGAACCATGTGGGCCTCCAAAGGATGGTTTGCCGAGTCCTCGAGAGCACCCCCCCCCAAAGGCTTTGAGTTCCTGCAGATGCCCCCTAGGTGCTGCGATCCTAAGCCGCAGGAGGATAGGTTGGAAGCTCACGAACCCGTTCGAGACCGAGACAGCCGACGTCCGAGTGCCACAGATCAGGGTCACCCAGCCAGCCCATCTCAAGTACCACCTCGAAGCCACCTGGATGGCGAAACTCGAGTACCGCGCCGCAGCCGAGCCTGGGGAACCAAACGACCACCTCCACCTGCTCAGCCGCCAAAGCCATCCTGGACTACCCTACCCTCAGCAAGGCCCAACGGGGCTGTCTGCTGGCCTGCCTGACCCAGTGCTTGGACAAAATCCCACTTGGCTCCTGCAGGTTACAAAATCGATCAGGAGTTCGACTGCTGCGGCCACCCGTCAGACGACATGCGCCACCGCTTCAACTGCCAGAGCGTGGATAATTAGAAAAGTGTGTTCCTAGAAGCCTCAGGCCTAGAGTATATCAGAGGGAGGGTGCCCAACGATGCCCCCCTTGCCCACGGTTTTAACATGTTTTCCGACCTCCTTCTCCATCGACCCATTGGGGTCGGATTTGCTTGGGAGTTTTGGTCCGAAGACGGCGAGCCCATGGGGGCTGCCATGGCTGGAAAAGGTTGTTTTGATGGGTGCTGCTAGAAGCGCGACCCTGCTATTTGGAAGCAGACGTGGTGGTCGGTTATTGTTAAAGATGGGCAGGGCGACTGCGTGGCTCTCCTGGCAGGACAGACAGGCGACGGCCTGCCGCCCCATCTCGGGAGCTGCGGAGCACGTCGGCCTCGCCGTCAGTCACGCGCGCCCGCGTCTCGCGAGAGTCTATCCCGAACACCTAGGAGCCATCGGAAAGTACAGCCAGCTAGGATTTGACAGACATGATCTGCACGATGGGCTGGAGCTCGCTGTTATAGGCAGACGCTTTGGAGGTGCCCCCACACCATCTGCAAAGTTAGGCCCATCAAGATTCAGACAACCCCCCAAAAACACCAGGGACAAGCGATTGGCCCCGGGGAACCCCGTTGCCGACAGAGTGGCCAAAGCGGCCGTTGAAAAGCTCGGGGACCCTTCGGAAAGTGGAATCCTACAGTGCCAGGCCGACCAGGCCTACATCGAACGATTACTGATATTTGCCCCACAAGCTATGAGGAATTCGCCCACGATTGCCCCCGAGCCTGGAGCCAGAGCTTGTGCAAGTCGTTTCCAAACCGCCAGTGGAGCCCATTGTGGGTGCCGCTCCCCTCGCCCCGACTCCTCTGCCTTCCCTTCCACCTGCTGGTCCAGGGGCCGACCGCGGCGCCCGCCCCTGGGGCTTTCGACAACAGGAGCAGCCCCACATATTGGCCTGGATTGTGAGTTTATGGCTGCGCGAAAACTGTCGCACCCGTGCTTTAACCTATGCCACCAAGGCCCGTCGCGATGCCGAGAGATGCCCGCGCCTCTCTCAGCTCCCCCTGAAGAATAACGGCCGTGACATATGCATGCTCGATCGCCTCGAAAACGAGAGCTGTGCCATGGCCTGTTGGGACCGCGGTGTTCATTCAGATTTCATGGCCAGAGGGTTCCAGAAAAAGTGTCCCCAGAGGTCTACGTTTAACGATAAGGTCGCAGCCTTGAATGGTTTTCGCATGTGCCGCCACCCCAAGCAAAGGGAAGACCAACCCCGCCGTTTTTTACTGCCCCCATAACTGTCGAAATGCTAATTCGAGAAGCGCACAGGGCAATGGGAATTTCAAGCAGCAGCAGCAGCAGCAGCGGTCAGTAGTTGAAAATCAAAAAACTGGCATTCAGTCAGATGCACTGGTCCCCCTCCCTCGTCTTCAAGCATCTCCTCCTCCTCCCCCTCCTTCGTTTTCCTGCTGCAGCCCTTCTTCTCCCGCCTCCCTCCCACTCTTCTTCTTGTTTATCATTATTAGTATTATTGCTGTTAGTATTCGCATCATCATGATTCGTATTACTGTTATTGTTATTATAATATTTATTATTGGTGTGACTACCATCATCATTAAGATTATCATCATTTCTATTATTATGATTGTTATTGTTGTTTTTGTTCTTCCTCATTATTGCCCCGTTCACCTTTTGCGCTTGCCCCGTCCCCCCGCGTGGCTTGCGGCCGTCCTCGCAGTGACCGTGGTGGCGGTTTTCGTCGTCGTCGCCGGCGTACCGAGGCCGGGTGCACGTCGGGTGGAGCGAGGTGCGTCAGCGAGCTTGGCTACCAAGCGGTGCCCCCAGCCCTGGGCGCTTTTACTCTTCTGTCTCCTCTTCCTCCTCCTCCCTCTGTTATCCTCCTCCTCCGCCTTCTCCTCCTCTCCCTCCTCCCTCTCCCTTCCTCCCCCTTCCCTCTCCTTCCTGGTCCTTCTTCTCGTTCATCCCTCTTCCTTATAGTCAATCTGATTCTGGAAAAAAACCCTGTCAGAGTCTTTGTTTGAACTTACGTGAGATCCATTTGCAATTGTTCCTTAGGTTCATGAAATCTGCGAGGGTTATGAAGGCCATGAGGGCTATCGGGCTATAAGGCTGTAGGGCTATGGGGCTGTAGGGCTATAGGGCTATAGGGCTATAAGGTTATATGGGCTATAGGGCTATAGGGCTATTGGGCTATAGGGCTATAGGGCTATTGGGCTATTGGGCTATGGGGCTATGGGGATCTATGGCTATATGGATATAAGGCTAGGGCTATATGTCTATAGGGCGATCGAGCACCTGGGCACCCGGGCAGCCGGGCACCCCTGGGCACTTTCAGGTACCCTGTGCACCTCTGGGCAGCCCAGGGCACCTGGGCACCCCCGGGCACCCCCGGGCACCCCTGTTTAGGTGGCTGTGATTGGGAGCTTTATATCGACCTGAAAACTGTGCACCCCCGGGCACCCGGGCACCTTGGCAGGCCACCGACATCGGCGACGCACATCACCTAACCATACGAATCCGTTAGGACCCCTACAGAGGCAAGCTCTGATTGGGGAACCTTTTCGCCGCGTCACCAGGCGCGTCGGCAGGGATGGGCGGGCGTTGCGCCATGGACTTCCTCACCATTTGTGTCCCTGAAGCTTGACGTTTCCAACATATACACGGATTGAGGGGGAGTCGCCTTCAACGTGTTTATCTCGCTTTGCTGCGCCGCGCGCATTCGTTGTGAACATGCCACACAGTTACGCGGACGGATGGCGACTCGTTTTCAAGCTGCGGTTGTCGCTTTTGCGCCGCGCACATTTGCCGACATGCTTCATGTTGGCGTGGGTTGGTGCCTATCTAAAGTTGGCTCCAGTCTTTATCGCCGCACTAACCAGCCATACCGATATAGGGTGGTTCGGTTTCCACAGTGGGGTGATCGCCTGAGATTTAGTTTGGCCACCAGAAAGTTACAGCTTTGCACCAGTTGCACGGATGAAGGGCGGCTCTTTTACACCATGGGGCTATCGTGTGAGTCTTGTTGCTCCTCCTCCTCCTCCTTCTCCTCCTACTTCCTCCTCCTGCCTCCTCCTCCTACCTCATCTTCCATCCTCTCTCCTCCCCCCTTTCTTCCTCCACCTTGGTCCCCTGTGCTCCTCCTCCTCCTCCTCCTCCTCCTCCTCCTCCTCCTCCTCCACAGGGGGGAGGGACAGGACGAGTGTAGTCTTCGGCGCGGGCTGCGCAACAGGCCTCGGGAAAGTTCGCTCGTTCTGGGATGGGCCACGACGCCACTCCCTAGAGTCTCTCCCTCCTCCCTCCTTCCCAGACCTTCGATGTCTTGCAAAAGTCAAGACGAAGCTTTGTTTGTCGTGTTCGGCCTCCAGGAGCCGTCTCCAGGCCCCGAGGCCGTCACACAAGAAAACGCTGTCCTGGATAGATCAAAAGGGCATGGAGAAGGGGTCGATACCATCGGATGTCGCGTGCAAATTGTGATGTCTGATGTCTAGGTCTTCCTCCTGCGGCCAGCGCGGCCTTGGCATAGACCACGGACGAACCGCTGAGGACGGGGAGGCGGATTAGTGTTAGGAGAAAGAGAATAATGATGATGAGGAGGAGGACCAGCGTAAGCCCTCCAAGTTCTCTCTTCACAGTTTCCTGCAATGATATATATATATATATTCATATATATATATATACATACATTTGTGCAAAACGTGATGTGTCTCGCCATCCGTCCTGACTTCACCCTGCTGCCTGTCACGACTGCCTCGTCCATAGCTTTCGCTAATCAAGGGCGTGGGGCACCCTCGGGTCCTCGAACTGCGCCCGCGAGGGCGCCCGCCGCAGCGCCCCCTCTTGCCGCTACGCCCCCGTCCTGGCGAGGGAGCGGGCGCCACTCCGCACGGCCCGCGGGCTGGGATGGCGGGCCGACGGCGCGGCGGTGGTGCAGGCCCTGGCGGCGCCCTGCTTGGCCTCGGCGGCTTCGGCGCGCCGCCCGCTGGAGCTGCGGGGGCCCTGGGCGCGCTGCCAAAGGGCGAGGCTGCCGTCGTGGCAGCAGGAGGAGCGGCCCTCGCAGGTGGAGCTGGACGAGGCCGAGGTGCTGGAGCCCCGCCCGCCAAGGCTGGCAAGGCGGCGGGGGGCCCCCCGAAGGCGAAGGGGAAGGCCAAGGCCAAGGCTCCAGCGAAGGCCGGAGGAGGCCGTGGCCGCGGGGTTCGAGGAGCTGGTGGTCACGGTGCGGGCGGTCCGCCCCCTCTGGCCCTTCCTCCTGGCGGAGCTGCTGGAGGAGCTCCCCCCCTGCCAGGGCCCGCGGCCGCGCCGCCTTTGGCAGCGGGGGTCACGCCCGCCATGGGCGTCGTCTTCGGAGGCGCCTGCGGCGGCCCCCTCGGCGGCGGAGGCGGAGCTGCCGGCTGGCGGTTTCCCTGGGCCCACGGCTGGAGGCTACCCAGGATGCGGAGGCCTGGTGCCGCCTCCCATGGCTGGTGGAGTTGCTGGCGGAGTCGCAGGCGGGTTCCAGGGCGCCCACGGCGGTCTAGCGCTGTGTCCTGGAGGAGGTGCCTTCGCCGCCCTCGGCCGCGCGGCTGGCTTCGGCCCAGGAGGCTAGGGGCAGGCTTGAGGCGGCGCGGGCTGGCACGGCGGCGTGATGCACGGCCTGGCGGCGCCCGCGGGAGGCGCTGGGCCCTGAGTCGACGGGCCATCAGCCCCGCATGCTTTCAGCGGATCGGCCTCAGCCCTGGGAGTTGCGTCGAGGGCGTGCTGCTGGACGTGACTGGTGGCGCCGTGGGGGCGGCCGTGTTCCAGGTGCAAAGCGCTTGGCCAGGCGGCGCCAAATGCTGCTTCGTGGAAGCGTTTTTCTTGGGGACGAGTGTGGCCCAGCTCGCGCCCAAGCTGGCGGGCAGCTTCGGCGCGGTGGGCGGGGCGGTGCTGCGCCTCTGCACCCAGCCTGCTGCGCAGTTTGCCGCCGTGGTTCTTTGGCCACAGCGGTCGACGCTCCACCTCGAGACGCACCGCATGCGTGACACGCGGGGTTTGGTGGAGCCGTGGCTTCAGGCCGCAGGCCCGCCCGCGGCTGGCGGAGACGGCGTGCTGCCTCGAACCCCAGCTGTGCTAGGGATTGCTGCCGCACCAGCTACAGATGACGGAGATGTTCCGACGCCCGCCGGGCCAGAAGATAAGATCACCGAGCTGCGCATGCGTTTGAAACGCCGGGGAGTCCATCGCCTCTCGCGCGGAGGCGGCGCTGGCTGGCAAGCGGGCTCGCAATAATAATAATAATGATAATGATGACGACAGCGACACGAGTTTTGACGACGCCTCACACGTTGATGTAGGACGCCAGCTCGAGACCCTCGCCCGCGATCAGCCAGGTGCACTGCTGGCAATCGGGATGGAGGCCATCAGTCGATGTCTGGCGCGGCGTGGATGGGGCGGCCAATTAAGAGAGTCCGCAGGGCCTGCGTCCCCAAGTCGCGCAGTACATCACCAGCGTCTTCCACGGCCGCCACCCTCACAGCGAGATGGGAGTGAGGAGCGTACGAGAGTTCCGCGCGATAGGCGAAAGCTTGAACGCGCTGCTCCGAGGCGAAATCGATCACCTCGGAGACCTCGTGCAGCGTCTGAAGGCAATCGAGCAAGCGACGGAGGGCGGGCCCTGGCAGGGGGCGGGCCCTGGCAGGTGGCCCAGCATCTGGGGCTGCGCGACGACTTCGGCGCGGGGCCCACTCAGTCGGCGGAGCTGGCCGACGCCGTGAGCAAGCACAAGAAGCTCCACGGGCTCCAGGAGAACGTGGCGAAGGCCCGTAAGTCTGGCGCGGCGGGCTCAGCGGGCCCCCCTCAGCGGCCATCGAGTCCGGGCCCAGCTGCAGCGCTGCCCCAGTCGAAGCGGGCCAAGAACTTCCTGAAGGGGCGCGCGAAAGCAGCGAGCCCTGAGAGCAGCCAAGGCTACCAGCCCCGCAGCCCATGACTCCAGATCCGCCCTACTTCGGCCAATTTCGTAAGTGGGGCCTGGCAATTCCGCCTTACTATTCAAGCCCCGATGATGCCAATTTCCGCCCTACTTTTCCGTTGCTGTTCCCGCGCTACTTTTGTGGATTCCCGCCCAACTTTACGTTGGCTGCCATTCCGAACGTGCGCAGTGAGAAACGCATTGAATGTGTTCCGTGCGGCGTGGCTGTAGCATGGCTCAGACATCTTTTTCCAGGTCAGTTCCACGTTGCGGGGCCGCCGCGCGGGCCTTGTCACTGAAGCCTTCGGCGGCGCTCTCTATGGCGCCGCGAAGCGTGTGAGCGGCGTGCCGGCATGAGGCGGGACCTCTATGCGGACCTTGCCGTCGGGGCCTTCCGTGGAGTTCCGCGCCACACAACTGCGACCACCATGCGCGCGGCAGCGGCGGCGCGCGGGGCGGGTCAGGGGCGGTCGCGCGGCAGGCCGGAAATAGGTCGCAAGGTGGGCGCAAGGAATTGACAATCATGAGGTTGTCGCTCGCCATTTCGAGGCTCGCACTGGCCTTCAAAATGGCGCCCACATTGCCGTCGAGGCGAGCAAAGGGGTTTCAACACGGCGCTAAGGCGGTCCAACACGCCCCCCCGAGACGGCTGAGATAGCTCAAGCTGGCTCCCCCCGGTGCTCCTCTCCTCCTCCCCCTGCTCCTCCTCCTCCTCCTGCTCCTCCTCCTGCTGCTCCTCCTCCTTCCCCCTTCTCCTCCTCCTCCTTCTGCACATCGTCCTTCTCCGCCCCCCCCCCGACATCCGACGTCTTGATTTGTTCAACGCGCGACCCCTGGAGGCCCAGGCATATCAATGTGACGACGCTTCATCATGGGCCTTCGCCTGGCGACCCTCGACGGGCCCCCGAAAGGCGAAAGCGGCGACAATCTTCCGCCTTGGTTTCGGGCGCATCCCGAATGTGGTTTCTCGCGAGGTAAGCTCCGAGTGACAGAGTGACAGACTGGCTGATTGATTGACTGACTGACTGGTTGGCTGACCAACTGACTGGTTGCACCCGTTGCGCCAGCCGCCGAGGGCGCAACCATGGCGAGACCGATAGCAGACGGGCTCATTCTTGACCAGAGCCGAGGGCGCAACGTTATGGCGCAACCAATAGCAGACAGTGTTACTTTCGGCCGCCGAGGGCACAATCTATGGCGCAACCAGTAGGAGACAGATATATATTCTCGGCCGCCGAGGGCGCAATCTATGGCGCAACCACGAAGCGACGGATTCATTCTCGGCCGCCGAAGGCGCAACCACGGCGAAACTAGTGAGAGACGGATCCCATCTCGCCCGCCGAGGGCGCAACTTTTGCGCAATCAGCGGGAGGCGGTTTCACCATCGGCGGCCGAAGGCTCAACGATCGGCGCAACCAATCGGCGACGTTTTTATTATCGGCCGTTGGGGGCGCAACCTCCAGCGCAATCGATGCGCGGCCGGTTTACTTTCGGCCGCCGGGGGCGCAACCCAACCAATAGAAAACAGTTTCACTTTCGGCCGCCGAGGGCGCAACCTATGGCGCAACCAATAGGGTCGGTTTCGCTTTCTTGCACAGGGCGACTGGACACCCGATTACTTCATTTCGCGTCGCCCACCCCTCTGTCCCTAGTTTTTTTTTTGGCGGCCCCCTTTCCTTCAGCACCCCTGTGTTCCCAGCAGCCGAACGCCCCCTCCGCCCCGACCATTTTATTTCGCGTCGCCCCGTCTCCCCCCTCCTTTGCCCCCGGCATTCTCCCCAGCGGCCCCCCCCAACAACTAGGTACCCCTCCCCCCCTCGCCCGCCCCCGCCGCATTCTTTTGCGTCGGCTCCCCGCCCCGCCCACACCCCTGCCACGTCCCTAGAGCCTGCCCCCTTGTGCTGTCCTGTGTTTTTCCTTTCCCTCTCCTTTCCTTCTTCTATGCGCAAAACCCATGGCGCGCATGCCACGTGTTCGGCCGCCGAGGGCGCAACTTATTATGGCGCAGCCAAAAGTAGACGGGCTCATTCTCAGCCGCCGAGGGCGCAACCCATGGCGAAGCCAAAGAGACACGGGGGGCCCATTCTTGACCTGGTGACCTGGTGACCCGGTGACGTGGTGACCCGGGGCTTGGTGACCCTAGGAGTTGTGACCTTGTGACCCGGTGATCTGGTGACCCGGTGAATTGATGACCATGGTGACCTGGTGACCCGGTGACCTGGTGACCTGGTGGCTGGGTGGTGTGGTTCAGGTGACCGAATGATGACCTGGTGACCCGGTGACCCGCGCTGTGACCCACGCAGTGATCGAGAATTCCAGTGACCCATTGACCCGGTGACCCGGTGACCCAGTGATCCGGTGACCCAATGACCTGGCCGGTGACCCAGCGACCCGGGGACCCGGTGACCCAACGCCCCGGTGACCGCGGTGACCCGGTCGGTGACCCAGTGACCCGGTGATTTGGTGATCTGGGGACCCGGTCATAGGGTGGTGTGGGTCAGTTCAACCGCTGTGATTGGGTGCGCTGCGACACAGTGACCTTGTGACCCGGTGACCCGGTGACCCAGTGATGGGTCAAATGACCCGGCGACCCGGCGACCCAGCCGGTGACCCCGTGAACCGGTAATGTGCGTCAGTTGACCCGGTGACCTGGTGACCTGGTGACCTGGTGGTGTGGGTTAGGTGACCTGGTGACCCGGTGACCCGGTAATGTGGGTCAGCTGACCTGGTGACCTGGTGACCCAGTGACCCGGCGGTGTGGGTCAGTTGGCCCAGTGACCCGGTGACCCGGCGGCGTGGGTCAGTTGACCAATTGACCCGGTGACCCGGTAATGTGGGTCAGATGACTCAGTGACCTGGTGACTTGGTGGTGTGGGTCAGTTGACCCGGTGACCCGGTGGTGTGGGTCAGTTGATCGCGGTGACCCAGTGACCCGTTGTTGACCCAGTGACCCGGTGATCCGCTGGTGTGGGTCAGTTGAACCGCGGTGACCCAGTGCGACACAGTGACCCTGTGACCCGGTGACCCGGTGACCCAGCGATGGGTCATATGACCCAGCGGCCTAGCGACCCAGCGACCCGGCCGGTGACCAGGTGACCCAGTAATGTGGGTCAGTTTTGGTGACCTGGTGACTTGGTGGTGTGGGTCAGTTGGCCCGGTGACCCGGTGACCCGGTGGTGTGGGTCAGTTGACCGATTGACCCGGTGGCCCATGCAGTGACCCGGCGGTGTGGGTCAGTTGACCCCGTGACCCGGTGACCTGGCGGCGTGGGTCAGTCGACCCGGTGACCCAGTGACCCCGCGGCGTGGGCCAGTTGTTCCGGTGACCCGGTGACCCAGTGACCCATTTAAAAAATTCTAAACCTAAATCACCTCAGAACCGAATTTCTGAGACGTCAGTCATAAGGATTTGTGAAACTGTTGTAATCTTGTATGTCAGGCGAAAAGACGCGGCGCCAAAACGAGAACATCGTTGTGAAAAGGGGCCCGCCCCCCATCCGCGAAACACGTGCAAACTGTGAAGACGACTGCGCGCAGCGCCCAAACGAGACATGCTTTTTTTGTTTCAAGAAGGACCCGCCCTCCGTCCGGGAAAAGTCGGGGGCGGAAAAGAGGGGGGTGATGACTAGGGGGGGGTGGATATCATGGCGGGGGCAATGATATTTCCCCAGATCTCATGGCGCCTCTTCTAATTTCATTACGTCCCTGGGCCCCCCGCTGGGCCGCGCACATGCCGCCGGTCATGATTTGCACCCCCCCCTCTTGGACGCCCCCCTCTAGGCCGCTCCCGAAAACGACACGTGCGAACTCTCGAGACGAGCGCGCGCGGCGCTGCGGCGAGGGCCACATCTCGAGAGCGGCACGCCCTCCGCCCGCGCAGCTCTGCCACGACGAGGACGAGCGCGGTGCCGGCGCTGCGGCGGGGGCCACGCTCTGAAGACGGCGCGCCCCCCACCCGTGCAGCGCGGGCAAATGTTATACAGTGAGCGGCTTGAATAAGGAACACTTACTTTTCAAAAGGGGCTCGGTCGTTCCTTAGATTTTACATGCGGTATTTACCGTTCCTTATGCGATCTCTATTATTTCTCGTTCCTTATGCGTTGTTCCTTGGGATAAAAAAGGGGCTTCGTTCCTTATCTATCGTTCCTTAGGTCAGGCCGATGACTGCAGGGCGCGGCGATCAGGCGAGGGCCGCACCTTCGAGGCGACCCGCCCTCCACCCGCGAAGGCGCTGCAGATCCTCAGCTCCGGGGGCACACTTCTGAGGCGCGGCGAGCCGGCGAGGGCCACATGCTGAGAACGACCCGCCCTCCGTCCGTGAGGGTGTTGCAGATCCTCAGCTTCAGGATCGCACTGCCAAGACGCTGAGGTAAGGACCGCTTTGGGTTCGGAGGGGGCTCGGGGATCTGGGTCGTTTCTTAGATCTGTGCTGCGGGATCTGCTTGGGGCCTGGGCCCGCCGTGGCCAGAAGAGCCCTTTTGTTCCTTATCTGGCGTTCCTTCTGGTAGTACCTCGACTGTGCACGATTCAGGAGGGAAAGAAACACACAGACACAATGAATCGCCGACTCCCAGGAAAATGTGCATAAATATGGGAAGTAGGGGGGGAAGACAAAAAAACAAAAATATTAGGAAGTATAGGAATTATTTTATTTGTGTGTATTCATTTGTGTGTCCCAGGGCCCCTCCAATGATGAGGTCCCTGGCGAAACGCCCGACACGCCCGGCCCGCCCTGCGGGCGAACCTCGGGGTGCGACAGGGAGGTGCTGTTTATCAGGAGAGGAGATGGAGGAGGAGGAGGAGGAGGAGGAGGAGGAGGAGGAGGAGGAGGAGGAGGAGGAGGACAAGCGGCAGGAGGAGGAGGAGGAGGAGGAGGGAGAGGGGGATGGGCATGTGGAGAAGGAGGAGGAGGAGGAGGGGATGTAGGAGGAGGAAGAAGACGATGAGGATAGCAAGCGTCGGGCACCGTCGGGACACAAGTAGACAGCTCGTCCAGGCGATTTGCAGAGCTTTCGGTAGCGCCGGCGTGGCCGCGGCACCTCAG